AAATGCTTCTTCTAAAGGTTATTTGCAAGTGCTTCTTCTTAAGTTTATTTGTATGTGCTTCTTCTGAAGGTGTATTTGCCAGTACTTCTTCTGAAGGTGTATTTGCAAGTGCTTCTTCTAAAGGTGTATTTGCCAGTACTTCTTCTGAAGGTGTATTTGCCAGTACTTCTTCTGAAGGCGTATTTGCAAGTGCTTCTTCTAAAGGTGTATTTGCAAGTGCTTCTTCTAAAGATGTATTTGCAAGTGCTTCTTCTAAAGGTGTATTTGCAAGTGCTTCTTCTAAAGGTGTATTTGCAAGTGCTTCTTCTACAGGTGTATTTGCAAATGCTTCTTCTAAAGGTTATTTGCAAGTGCTTCTTCTAAAGGTGTATTTGCAAATGCTTCTTCTAAAGGTGTATTTGCAAGTGCTTCTTCTAAAGGCTATTTGCAAGTGCTTCTTCTAAAGGTGTATTTGCCAGTACTTCTTCTGAAGGTGTATTTGCCAGTACTTCTTCTAAAGGTGTATTTGCTTCAATTCCTCATTACAAATAACCGGATTTTAAAAGCTTTGAACGCTGCGTTCTGTGAATCAGTATTGCATAAATTGAATACTTTGAACTGGCAGTACTCTGAAACTCTGAAAGCAAGTATCAGATTATCAAAGAACAATGCCATTATCATATGATTGAGGTGCTATTCAGTTCCTTTGTTGATCTTAGATGGGCCAATTAAAGGATTGGTCACTTATAGTAATGGCTGTGATTATGGTGATTGGAAGGATTTTGCTAGTCAATTTAGCTTATTGGACAGATCAGTCGTGATTAGTGCGTGTGTGCACTGTGGCGAAATCTGTTGCTTGATTAATTTGTAAATCTGCCTCGCTACATTTGAATGTATTCCCTGTACAGAAGGCTTAAGTAGTTCACGCCGACGTGTATTTCTAGTTATGAATATTCGGTGTACCAGTTAACTCGGACTCAAGTAACTTGATATATCTGGATGTAACTTAATGTTACCGACGGAATACTGATCAGCGGTACTCCGCTTGTCTCGAGCTAAACTTACTTCCATAGTTCCCTATTGTCCTTCGAGTTAGCGAGCTTGAACTGTACATGAACATAAAACATAAAGTTGGCGTTATTTATTGAGTGAGTGAGTTGGGTTTAACACGTCTTTGGACAGTATTCCAGTTATATCACGGCGTGTCAGCTTCATGATGAAGGGAAGCCCGAAGTGATGCAGGTCTCGGACGTCTACCACTTCCGTCCAAAGTCGTCGATATGTATAAAGCTGAATGGTTTACTTTGATTATGATCAGAAATAACATCAAGACAATCATTTATTGTGATTGCTATTAATCGTTTGACATATCAATGAATATTCAGCTCACTTGTCAGATATCTTTACTGCTATTTATACACGTCTATACATTATTATATGATAAAACATTCATGAGTCTCACTTAATTGACAAGAAGATCGATAACATCCGTGTTCTGGAATCTCATTTTTTATTCAAATGTCATCTACGGTGATCGAGGTAGCAAATATGACGTTTAAGAAGTCAACGAGGAAGACTACAGTAACATAACGTTGATGGGTGAGTGAGTGAGTTGGGTTTAACGCCGCTTTTAACAGTACTCCAATTATATCACGGCGTGTCAGCTTCATGTGGGAGGAAAGCCCGAAGTGATGCAGGTCTCGGACGTTTACCACTTCGGTAAAACCCACGAGGACGGGTATGGTGCTGACAAACCATGAAACATAATCGTGTCGAACGTTCTTTGTTTCACATGTATGGGTAGTACCTTTGTAACTGAAACCTCCACGCCCTGGAACCCGTTCTACAAACGATCGCAGCTTCCACAATTTAACATAGACTTATGCCAGTCGTAACATTACGATCGCTTTGTGGAACTTGGTCCTGTTCTTAAGAATATCATCATAACATCACAGCCTGACCACAACCCATTACCCATCAAGACGTTGCGTCCTTGCGAAAGACTTTTTACGTGGTATTATTGAAGTTGCGACCATTCTTTAAGGGGGATTCTAGAATTACCAATAATCAACGAAGAACAAAAGCGACAAAATCCTATCCATCGTCACAATAAATCTCTGCTGAAAGCAGAGTCGATTGTACGATACCGACTATTTTATGAGCATGTGTTTATGAATCACCATCAAATAGTGATGATACAAGATTTTCCCGAACATGAGAGCGTTTCCTGCCCCACCGGTGGCGCCCGCCACAAAGACAAGTCATTTGTTTACCTGACAAAAACAAGAGGACATATTGTCCAAGTGTAAAAGGTAATTACATCGGACATCATTTTTGTCACTAGTACGTCAAATTTGGAACGCGTCAAATTACCAAGAACTTGATTGGCATTTAGAAGTTGATTGACTATAAATACATGAAACCTTTTAAGGATAACAACTTGGCAGAAGATGTATTTTTTGTCACAACGTTGCAATGCTATTTGCATGCCTTTTGTCTGATGTAGGGACACGATGCAGTCCCGAAATGTCCTCACAAACATTAAAAAAATTGGTATTCACAAATAGCTTCATGTAGTCTTTGAATACTTTGTTGGTATATGATTGCTGAGTGTTCATAGATTCATAGTTCTCTGGTTCGTAGCTAGGCAATATGTTTGAGGAAAGTCTTAGAAAGCCACGTCTGGTAAGATGTGGACCACCTCGTACATTTGTAATAATATAACTGTGACATGAAAATGCAAATTACAGCTGAATTCTTTCAAATTGCCTTATTTTAAACACATACACTCTCAAATGTTTGTTTGTTTGTTATTTAAAGCCGCACTCAGCAAAATGTCAGGTATTGACGGAGGTCTGTAAATTGTCGAGTCTGGGCCAGACAACCCAGTGATTGACTCATGAACCTACGGTATTGGGATACGATGACATGCATCAATCAAGTCAGCCAGCCTGTCCACCCGATCCGGTTAGTCGCCACCTACGACAAGCATGGGTTGCCGAAGATCAATTCTTACCAGGATCTTCACGGGTGTATTTACACTCACGAATCGTTATGACAGTAATATACGTTTCACATTAACATTTACATATCTATTGCAGGTATTAAAAATAATGGAACAGCATATACGACCGTATAATGTTAATGAATGAAATAAATATTTCAGTAAAACAATGAGTGAGTGAGAATGGTTTTACGCCGCTTTTAGCAATATCCCTGCAAGATCACGGTATAGGACACCAGAAATGGGCTTCATACATTGTACCCGTGCGGGAAATTGAACCCGGGTCTTCGGCGTGACGAGCGAACACTTTAACCACAAGGGTACCCAACCGCCCCTTCATTGACTTGCTTGATCATTCAATTCGTCATTGAGATTGGCCATGTACCTTTGTCCATCACAGTACTAATCGATATGAAATTACATAAGGTCATTGAATATATTTATTGCTTTAGGTTTGCTTCATGTGTAATTATGAATAAATATTATTGGTACTGCTGTCATACATGCAGATCCCAAAATGAACAAAAGGTCAGTGATAACTTTGCGGTTGAATGTATTTTCCACAGATGATTGATAACAATTCCTGAGTAGTGAACGTGATGAATTACTATATGCTTCATTTTGTCATGCCTTTAAATCAGATGGCATGTTAATGAACACGCGCGTTGTAAATGTCCACTCAGCCAGAAATTGTATCGTCACATCCTTGAAAAAGCTTTAATTTAATCAGTTTGGAGTTACCACGAGAGATATGCGTGTCAATATCAAAACCAGAAAAACGTCACTAAGTATTACTGGGTACCTCTGTCATTTAAGACTGTTACTAAAGCCAAATTGTATTTTTATGGCATAGATCAATCAACATTTGAGTCACTGAGGAGCAAAACCGAATTAACACCAACGTGTAACTGTCACAGTTTGTTTGTTGTTTAACGCTGCACTCAGCAATATTCCAGCTATATGACGGTCTGTAAATAATCGAGTATGGATTTGACAATCCAGTGATTGACATCATGTGCATCGATCTACGCAATTGGGATACGATGACATGCATCAACCAAGTCAGCAAACCTGACCACCCGATCCCGTTAGTCACGTCTTACGACAAGCATAGTCACATTTTATGGCACGTTTGGGTTGCTGAAGACCTATTCTACCCCGGATCTTCACGTGTCGGTAACTATCACAGTACACAACGACTACGATTACCAATATATGTGTTGAGAATAGATTCATCAAGAGACATACAAGCTTCATTCAAGTGAATACAGATAACCTAATTTCCCTTCCCGGAGAATATTTTTATATAACTTCTGTGACTAAAATAAAGCTTGTCGATATAAAATATCTGTGTAATGCTCATGATGTCAATCAATGGATTGGCTGGTCCAGACACGATTATTTACAGACCTCCGTCATATAGCAGGAATATTTCTGATTGTATCATTAAACAATAAACTAATAATTAAAATTACCTTATTTGAAGGCGTAGCTAACATGTCAGCAGTAGTAAGGCAAATGTAACTAATAGGGTTTCAAGATAATGTCACATGAAACCATTGGAGTCAGGTGTTAAGCATGTCTGTGGAGTTTTAAATCAAATCAAGTCAAATCATTTAAGTCTTACACATCTTTAGAATACACAATACTCCATGATGATCACAGCAGGACGCTTCGACACAGAGCAGGGCCGCTATATGATCTACGCAAGCCCTGCTGAACCCATGGTGTGTTGATGGTCCGTTTCAGTTGTGGTGTTGCATTGAAGTCAATGTCAGACCACTCAAATCAACAGACAAGGACAAGAAGCAATCATCATAAAACATGGACTGGCTGTCCCATGCCCAAAGATTACCCACACTTCATCAAGGACAAATTAAGCCTAAATTGAGATTATATTATTGAGTATACAATGTAAGGGCATGCAGACAGTTTCAAGTCATGAACAGACATGTCTTTAATACTCTATATAAAGCATATGATGGCATAGTTGTGTTTCAGTCACCATACCCTTGAGTTTTGATCTGAACAGAGCTTTTTCCTACCATGAATTCCACTATTATAAACGGTACAGTTAATTCGACGAGTGTTCCACCAGAAGCATCAACATCTGAACCAAAACCTGGTGTTTCTTTTTCAGGATTTGGTTATGACATTATTGCCTTGGTCCAGTTTTCACTTGCCTTCTGTAGTTTCTTTGGAAATGGTATGGCCGTCCTGATATTCTTAAAGCATAAACAGCTGCGGTCACCGACCAACACGTTCATCATGAACTTAATCTTCTGTGACATGTTGATGGGGATGGTGGCCTTTATATCAGCATCTGCTGCGTTCAACCATGGATGGGTATTCGGACGAAATATGTGTGTTTTTGAAGGATTTATGGTGTATTTCCTGGGCCTCGCTTCAATGTACCTCTTGGCGGCAATAGCACTTGACAGATATGTTGTCATATCCAAACCACTGTCAGCCTCAAAGATAACCCAAAACGTTGCCCTACTATGTACCGGTGTCTGCTGGATCCTTGGATTCCTGTGGGCAATATTTCCCATGTTTGGATGGAATGAATATACTGTGGAAGGTCTCGGGATCTCATGCAGTGTCATCTGGCAGAGTGACGATCCATCCTACTCCAGCTATATCCTCGCCATCTTTTTTGCGTGTCTTGTAATTCCTGTAGGTCTGATGTCCTTCTCCTACTACCACGTATACATGGCTGTAAGTATTAAAGTCGATGGAAAGAAACTGAAGGTAGATTTGATCTTAAGTTTGAAGGTTGTAAAGTCTCTCTTAGGTTCTTTGGATGCACATTTTCTCGTAGCCATGGTTTGGGTGTTTGAACATTGATGCGACCAAGCTTTATTCTTTTGAACCATTCAAAACTATTCATCTTATACAGTCGCAGGTATACTATTAAAGCAAGTGAAGATGATAGGATTAGTCTGATACATACTGCTATAATTAAAACCTAATATTGCTCTGGCAGATCAGCATGAGCGGGGATGGACAGTCAAAGTAGACGACACACAACACAATTGCAATTGCAACCTGGGCCCCGTTCCACAAAGCGATCTTAGCGCTACGACTATCATAAGCCTATGTTAAAGTATGGGAGTTACGATCACCTTAGCGCTAAGATCGCTTTGTAGAACGGGGCCCAGGTCACAAAATTGCAATTACCCGATCCTCATCAATCGTCTCTCTTTTGATATTAGTATTTGGGTATTCGGGATTTACTCTTTCCATGAATCCCCACTGGGTTAATTTTTAAAAGTGATAATGTTATACAGACGAATGACACATTACATAAAATGAATAATGCTGGAAGCGGCGTATTCTTCAACCCAGTAACCACAACAACTATTCAACTGAGCCTGAGCTGGTGCTGGGCTAAGATATGTTGCCTCTCCTTTGTAGTTTTGTGTCAAACTGGGAAATATTTGGTGAATACTAATGTATAGCACCAGGGTTGATTTAATTAGAAATTTAATTCACACTGAAAACGTATGGGGACATGAGTGATCGCATGCTGAAATTCGACCCAGGGTTCGAATGATCGGGAGTTCAAATCCCAGTTTCGCTATGATTAAGTTCCTTGATTTGTTAACATTGTAACACCATGTACTTTGATGTACCGGTTGTTAACACACCAGATAGACCTGCATCATTTAGGGAATTCAGCGGACATTAGTGAGTTAGTGTTATGGTTTTACGCCGCTTTTAGCAATATTCCAGCAATATCACGGCGGGGGACACCAAAAATGGGCTTCACACATTGTACCCATGTCGGGAATCGAACCCGGGTCTTCAGCGTGACGAGCGAACGCTTTAACCACTAGGCTACCCGACCGCCCCTCAGCGGTCATTAAGCTGAAATCCGGTGAATAAACTGAACTATTTATCAAGGCGGCGTTGAAGCCAACTTACTGCCTCATTCACTCTGTTTTGAAAAGCCACATGCTTCTGTAACTGGACATTTGTGTTAGCCATGTGATCGAGTGCGTGAGTATGGTTTTACGCCGCCTTTAACAATATTCCAGCAATATCACGGCGGGGGACACCCTAAATGGGCTTCACACATTGTGCACATCTGGGGAATCGAACCCGGGTCTTCGGCGTGACGAGCTAGGCTAACCACTATGTTATGATTAATAACCGTTTATGTAAATTACATATTAAGGTTTTGTTTCTATCTCTGTATTATCATTGAACCAAGTGTGCATAAAGTGAGCAAATATTGCGTAAATATTTGTCAATAACATGCATGTACATCACTAAACTCTCAAAGACGACTATGCTTGTCGTAAGTAGCGACTAACGGGATCGGGTGGTCAGAATCGCTGACTTGCTGGATGCATGTCATATTTTCCTAATATGCCGGATCGATGCTCATTATGTCAATCACTGGATTGTCTGGTCCAGACTCGATTCTTAATGACTGCCGTCGTATGGCTGGAATATTGCTGAGTGCGGCGTCAAACAACAAACAATCAAACATACACTAAAGTCTTGAAGTCAGACACTGAAATATACAATAATACTGTTAATGCTTTGTAAGTAGAGTAACATTTAAAAACATGCGGTCGGGTAGCCTGGTGGTTAAAGCCTTCGCTCGTCACGCTGAAAACCCGGGTTCGATTCCAGACAGGGGTACACTGTGTGAAGCCCATTCCTGGTGTCCCCCGCCGTGATATTGCTGGAATATTGCTTAAAGCGGCGTAAAATCAAACTCACTCAATTAAAAACACTATTGATAGATAAAACAATATTAACACAACGCACTCTTCAAATTTGCCAGGTGCGGAACGTGACGAGGAACAGCGTGTGGGACACTAAAAGTCGAGTGGCTAGGAAGAAACTGAGGGTGGAGAAGAAAATGTTGAAGACGTGTATTGCGATGGTTTGTAAGTAATCCCTGGTATACAACAACGGCATGATTTTATGATGGCTTTTTCTGAAGCGAATAGTATTTTAAATATGCTACCTTTCAGCAATATTCCCCCAATACCACCACACTCTGCCTTACAAGATGCACAAATATGTAACATGAGCCAATGCCTGAGTTACAGTATCTCTTAATGACATTATATATGCTCCAGTATCAAAGAAGAGAAGACAGAGTTGTGTGGATTTCAATTTCTTCGCCAGAAGTTTTGGCTTTCCGAGTTTGCCCAGTGCATGGCTTTGTTATCATATCTGGTAATGATTTTTTATACATAATGGTTTAATACTTTCTGTCACATTCGTTTCTTAATACACGTCAAATTCGTTTCTTGAAATACGTATGTTAGTAAGTAAGTACGTAAGTAAGAGAAATAGACAAAAAATATATTCTTTTTCATTAAACGGGCGTCAATTTGGACGATAGATTCTCTTCATGTTTTTCCTGAGATAACATTTTAATGATTCTACGAGCGTACCTCATGCTTTTCCAATTGGTGTCGGCTACTCGTTGCGTCTCTTTCATCCCATTGGGTTTCCCTTCCGAATTATAATGAGATTAAGAAAAATCGTTAAACCCAACTCGCTCTCTCATGATGTTTTTTTATCACCCACTGGAATGTTTTATTCCAAGTCTATAAAACATATTCTACTAGAACTCGATTGTTTTTCAAATTGAAGACTCGATAATCAATTTCAATTATCATGTTAAGTAGAGCGGATTTTGTATCGTGTTAAGCTTTCTGGTATTTTTGTCATTAGCAAAGTGTGTCTTCTTTTTGGCCCAGGCATATATGTTTTTGTGAGAAATAGCTATGATACGATATTATCAAAATAATATTATCAATATTAATTCAAATTGAAGACTCGATAATCAATTTCAATTATCATGTTAAATAAAGCGGTTTTTGTGTCGTAATAAGCTTTCTGATATTTATGTCATTAGCAAAGTGTGTCTTCTGTTTGGCCCAGGCATATATGTTTTTTTGTGAGAACAACCTATGATACGATATTATCAAAATAATAATATTAATAATAATAATAAATTCAAAACTTTTTCCATATCCAATAGAAATCTCTGCATAAAGCAGAGTCGATAGTGCAATTACGATTATAGCATAAACTTGTGTTTATGAATCACTATCAAATAGTAATGATACCAGGTGTTCGTGAAGGAAAACAATCCTTGAACGATTGAGACATGGATTGTTCACAAAATGATATTGCCCGTCCGCTTCACACACCTCTTCGTTTGATTTGTTGTGTTCAGAGATTTGTCGCATAACGCTGACCTCAGGAATATTCCAGCTGACCCTATTAGTTACATTTGTCTTACTACTGACATGTTAGCCATGTGTTACACGCATTCTCAACGCGTGTAAGGGAATGAACTTCAAGGCAGTTGTGTTTTGTTCGTTTGTTGTTTAACGCCACACTCAGCAATATTCTAGCTGTATGACGGCGGTCTATAAATTATCGGGTCTTGACCAGACAATCCAGAGATGTACATCATGAGCATCGATCTACGCCATTGGGATACGATGACATGCATCGACCAGCTCAGCGAGCCTGACCACGCGATACCGTCAGTCGCCTCTTACTACAAGCATAGGTTCCAGAATACCATTACTTTTATAACCTGGATCTTCACGTAGAACATCCACATGAGCACACTGAGAGATGTTGAGGAGGAGGATCAAATAGTATTATTATAATCTCTGAAACGTACAATCCGAAACATCTGACTAAACTTGCTTTGCGACAAGAATGGGAACAATATTTCTTCCTGAAGACGAATTCTTACCTGTATCTTCACGGGGGTTCTATTTAGAGACTTAACGTACCGTGTATCGTGTAACTTAATGATTGGTGTTTTAGTCACGCTGCAATTGTGACGCTGATTGTGTAGCTCGATAGATTTGTTAAAAAGGGAAAAAGGCACTTCTGCATTGGTAACCGTTAAAAACATATTTAAGACAACTGTGTATGAATGACGTGTCATTTGTTTTTTGCATGATAATTATATTGGTACATGTACGAGATGCGTCATGTGAAGAACCCGGTAACCGTTCAGTCAACGTGGCCCCTACCTTAAAACACGCTTTACCCGTAGGGGAAGACATGCTCATTCGATTCGCGTGCACCTGGTGCCATCACTCTATCTGTATAAGGATGAATCTGTGTAGGCTCTTGCTCTTTCTTTGGATGCACAAACAGTTACATATTTATGTACAGATGTATTACATAAAGATAATGGGGGCACGGTTGGCCCAGTCGTCTAAGGGGCCGCGATCCGCTGTGCAGAGTTGCGTCCCTTGGATACGCCAGCAATCTATTTTTGTGGGTTCGAATCCCGGTTCGCCCCAGTTACGTTTCTAGGTTTGTCAGCACCATACCCGTGCTCGTTTGTTTCACCGAAGTGGTAAACATCTGAAGTGACATCTCTTCGGGCTTTCCTCCCATATTAAACTGACAAGCCGTGATATGACTGGAATATTTTTTTAAAGCGGCGTTAAACCCAACCCACTCACTTACTCACTCATAATGATAACTCCTGTCATAAATTGGTTTGTTTCTTATTTAACGCCGCAATCAAAGTATCCTTGCTGTATGGCAGCGACCTGTAGATAATCGAGTCAGGACCAGACAAACAAGGTGTTAGTATCATGACCAACGCCCCACACTGTCAGGACACGTTGATATTCTATCCACCGGGTCGCCGCGCCTGACCACTTGTCCATTAAGTAGCCTCCCATGACCAGCATGTGTTGCTGGGGACTTTTTCTAACCCCGAATCCCAACGGGGGCACATTCTTCACGCTACATTATCAGTATCCAACAGGGGTTATAAGGTCATCTACTTCATTATTGTAATTAAATACCTCACGTGGGAAGTTCTCCTATGAGCATTCAACCATCCTTTGTCTGTAGATTCTCTAATGGAGGGAACCTGTGTCTAATTGTTCCTTCTACGACTACATGTACATATAGTAGAGAATAGTAAAATTACGTATTTGGGGAGAGTATCTAAACTTACATTATTCATCGATACGCCATCCTTTTCAGGATCTGTTGCAAGATGCATTAGATTCCATTGGTCATCATTGTGTATCTGGTATAGTCGATTAACTGTTACGTGAGCACAAAAGACCCGTTATTATAGATTGTAATGTAGACCCTTGCTCGACAACATGTAATATTGCTGTCGTCGCGCAATCTGTTGTGAATGCTGCTTATATAATACTATGAACTGATTGATTATCTCAGAGGCGGAGAGTGATAATGCCCATATAGAGTGTGAGGACTGAGACAGTGAATTCTTGGCTCTATATTTTCCTATTCTGAAATTTTATTCCTGTTCTGAAACATATTAAAAATTAAATATAGTGTGCGAGCAATGTTGTTTTCGACTGCTAAATAACATTTTTGATTTGACTCATCAATAACGTCAGCATTTCACTGAGACAATAACATAGCGCCAGTGAGCACACGGGAGGGATGGCTGTCCGATATGGGAAAAAGTATAATTATGCATATTTTTCTGGTGGTTTATTCAAGAATTGTAAAATAATGCCAGTAGAATATTCATACAATTGTTTTCATTCGCCCTGATGATGGATATCTCTAATGTCACAATACATGTCATAAAACTGAACAAAAACAGCTTAGGGCATTCATAACCCACCAACTTCGACCATTGAGTAAACGTTAGCACTCTCTTTGGCATTTATTTTGTCACTGACTTTTGTTGTGGAGCAATAACACAGGTAACAGTCTGTGCATATTCACCTCGTGTGAAAAAAGGAAAATGTCTTGTTGAATCGCAAATTGTATCTTATCTTTGTTTACGCTGTGAAAACACAGAGCGTCGTACCAAACACATGCTTCCTTGTTTCCTTATAAAGGAATTCATGTCAATATTGTCAATGAAGAGCAATTATTTTCTATTTTAAAATATTCCGCAGTGATGTGGTGACAATACAGTTGTGCAACTGTAACCTTAGTTTTTTGCGAATACCCGTATCATCCCAATTTGAAAGCGATTCATAGACACATGTTCATGATATTGTCGGAATGGGACAATAGACGGCTTTTGGCAGAGATTACTTGTGGATATTTAAAGGATTTTTAGGCTTTTATTTTCATGTCCTAAGACACATGTTCATGATATTGTCGGAATGGGACAATAGACGGCTTTTGACGGAGATTACTTGTGGCTATTTAAAGGGATTTGTGGCTTTTATTTTCATATCCTAAGACAACGTGAGTTAGTGCGTGTTTTATGCCACTTTTAGCATCACTTCAGCAATAGCACGACGGGATTACACAATATTGACAATACATATTGTACCCATATAGGGAATCGGACCAAGAGGTTTGGCTTATTACTAGGCTACCCCACCATGCTGATATTATATAGAACAAAATTATAATGTGAGTGAGTGAGTTGGGTTTAACGCCTTTTTTAACAGTATTCCAGTTATATCGCGGCGTGTCAGCTTAATGTGGGAGAAAAGCCCGAAGTGATGCAGGTCTCAGACGTTTACCACTTCGGTGAAACCTACGAGCACGGGTATGGTGCTGACAAACCTAGAAACATAATCGGGGCGAACAGGGATTCGAACCCACAATCATAGGTTTCTGGCGTGCTCAAGGGACGCAACTCTGCACAGCGAATCGCAGCGCCTTAGACGACTGGGACACCCGTGCCCCCTAAATTATAATGAGCATGTTAAAGTGTTTATGATTGTCAATTATGTCCAATGATGACTCTTGCATGTTTGTCATGTGAAACAGTTACACAGACATGTATTAAAGATTTATTTCAACTTGCAGCCATATTTCTCTTGTCCTGGACGCCCTACACCGTTGTGTCCTTCGTCTCAGCCTTCGGTGACCCAACCTTGATTTCCCCGCTGATGGCGACAATACCCGCCCTGGTAGCTAAGTCGGCCGGCCTGTGGAACCCTCTCATCTATGTGGCAACCAACAAGCAATTCCGATATGGCTTCTACGCAATCATTCCTTGCAAAGGGATCAAAGATTCATTGGTGAAGAAGGAAGAGAAACAACCAGAGTCCTCAGAATCGGATTTGGATGAAGAAGACGGCAAGAAGAATACTAAAAAGGTAACACAAGTGTTTGCTCATCCATCAATTATTGCCATGCTTACTGCGATAATGATTACCACATTTCTCTTATCTTTGAATCTCATAATGTCAGAGATAATAAAACATTTGTATGAGTAGTTAGACAAACAATTATATTTATGCTCAATTCTGGCATAATTTAATAACTAACCAGCTGTTAGCTCTTTATAGCAATGTTAAAGTACCTAGAATGATGAAGCGTAAATAAGGGTCTTTCGTTCATTTAGAATTTCTTTACATAATTTTCATGTAAATGATGCTAGAAAACGTAGGACAGAATATTATTCAAATTCTTTTAAATTATTTACCTCTGCGTTGTAGAAGATTAATTCATTGTTGTGTTCGCTTGCAAAAAGGGTTCAAAGTTAAAATCTCAATACTTAACTTTTGTTATTACTCTTCATAACCCACTCGCATCAGTTAGTCTGTAACATTCCAAAGATATTACTACCATAAATTCGGTTGCTTGTGCAATGACGGCCATCATAAGTAGTATTTCTTAGCAAGTCATATTTTCATAAGCTCGATTGTGTAGGCAAATTAGACCTATCATATCTTACACATGTTTGGGATAACTGGTGTCAATCATATGTGTGAGCTCGAATTCCAGGTCCGGTGATAGGCTACTCCATGGTGATGACCAAGGGTCTGATTATGACGGACTACTTTCCTTTCCGAATTGTAATTAATTGATAAGTACTGCCACTCGTGTTTCAGTCTAATTCACTTCCGTCTGTGTTGAAACATTTTGGTTTCAGAGTGTAAATAAATGTTCTTTTATCTTAGCTCGCTTGCATTATCATCATCGCCTTGATAACCCACGGGAACGTGTTTATGGAGGGTGACACAAAGTCTGAGTAGTAAGCCGGATTACGTCAGACATGACCGCTGTGCTATGTATTAATGCGCCAATTACGCATCGATTTAATGTTTAAATGGTGTGATTTTAGGATGGTTAAGAAACAGCTAACTGCACTCGTGACTGTCATATCGCCTAGACCCTCGCATAGTAATCTCTATACACGTGCCTGTACGTAATTTCGACCTGTGTGGGCACTGAAGATGGGTATAACGTGAATGGATTATTCAAATCAAGCCTTCCTCGTTATCCGACAATAGTCTGCTTTTGAGTCTGGGGTTAAACTTTATTTGAACTCGCAATGAGGGACCAGCAATCTAATGCTCATGTACATGGTATGAAATGCGTGGTATTCCACTTTAATTTAACTGTCAAGCTCACTTAGCTTCAAATAAACATCTGAGCATCGAGATTTACGAAATGCATTTAATCTTGAGTGCCATTCTGGGCATAACTTTAACGATTAAAAGTACAAATTATGCACCTGCAGTTTTGATCAGCATACGCACTTGTTGTCACCTTTGTCGATACGTCCATGTAGAACATCAGATTTAGGGAAATTATTTGTACTTAGCCTGGTCATTGTTGTTGTGGTGTATTCAAACCTAAAAATAATTATTCAAATAATATATACAAACCATTGTTCATTAATTCCCTCCAAAGGTATATACTACAGTTTGATCATATCATATCACTATTTGACTTTTGAAAGTGAGACTAGGACTGGGATATCTACCTGATCTTAAATTTTAAAGCCCACCAACAAAGTCATAAAGTGAAATTACACCCGAGTTAAAAATAAAGTCAGAGATCTGACTTATTGCCTAGCCAAAGATCAATGTTCAATTACCAGTAATACCACTGTAAATGCAGACAGCTCTCACCTGTAACTACCGTTAGGGCATTCATGTTGTAAAATGAACGACAGCCAAACAGTGGAGTTAAAACATGTCTAGGCTAACTGAGGCATATTTGAAAAAGAGACTATGTTCAACAGTGCACATTTCCTGTCTAGTGACGACATTTCTTTTGTAATATTTGTCCGCACATTTGCAGGAATTAACGCTTTTCTGTTATGTTTCCCGACTGTTTTTTGCAGGATAAGAAGGAAGAAAAAGCCGGAACATCTGGGCGACCTAAAGGCAACGCTGTGGCTCCAGCTCCTGAGGAGGAGTCTGGCAATGAGCCCACGGTAATAGAAGATGTTTCACAGATGGAGGAGGCGGACGTGGAACTCAAGGACATCAAGAAGAAATAGATGAACAACGGATATGTATTTACTCATTAGTGACCGAGTTCAAATTGTACGTCGGCTTCTATCAATTTAGCGCCATTTACTCGTTAAAGGAGACCAAGGCTCGGACAAATTGACCGATTAATTTTTCCCCTAATTACACAGAGACAATGTTTTAATATCTCACAATTTGCAACTTATTCTGGAAACGGGCATCGTGCTGCTTTATTGGACGACTTGATTCTGGCACATGTGCGAACCTAGTAAGTCTGATTCAAGTCGTTAACATCATGCCGTATTTCATTGCGTCTATAAAGACACAATTTATCCTGTATTATTAATCAAAACGTTACTGAATACCCGAGGTGCAGACACTGGCAGCGGAAATGTTATAGCCTACATTTACCAAATAAATGTCACAAAAGCCTTTCGATTCCAGTGAACGATGCCGACCATATCATGAGCATGTGTATATTAATTACTATCAAACACGGGATCGGGTGTTCAGGCTCGCTGACTTGGTTGGTGCATGTCATCGATCCCAATTGCGTGGATCGATGCTCATGATATTAATCACTGGATTGTCTGGTCAAGACTCGATTATTTACAGACCGCCGTCATATACAATGTAGCTGGAATATTGCTAAAATGCGGCGTTAAACAACAAACCAACCAACTATCAAACAGTGATGATACCGGGCGTGCGAATCCTGCCCCCCCCCCCCCCCCCCCCCCCTGTCACCCGTTACAAAAAACGAGCAAACGGAAGTCAGTTGTTCACCTGAAAAAACCACGGGAACAAACGGAAGTCAAAATAGGGAATTGCACCAGACGTCATAAGTGCACTGATAAACTGCAAACGTCCTCCACATGTCTACCATAAAACTTTTTGAAAGTTTTACTAAAGACATTTTGTCATATTGACAACTGGTAATAAGGAATACAATTGTTGCACTATATGCACTGTCAAACTATTGATGGAAGTAAATGTTGAAGCGAACTATTTTGAGGCCCCTTTCTTGTATCCCCGAATATAGCCTTTGCAATGTCGTGCATTGTATGAATGTCTTATATACCAGTAACACCAAAAGTCACAATTACCTGACAATTGTACTCGGTACAAGCAGAAACAATATCCCCATCAATAAACTATATTATTATCTATGGTACAAAAGAACGACTGTCTAAAAGACATGATAAGCACTCACATGTTTTAACTTGGGCGCTACACTGATTTATATATTCGACAGTTGTAGAGCTTTTGAATTCCTTCCTAAAATCCATATTTTTTTAAGTTCTTGAACCACCAAGAGACATGTAGATTACATATAAAACGACAGGATTCGGGAATAATGATTATACAACGGTTGACACGAACGGCTTCACTCCCATGGCTATTTTCAATATCGACTTTTTTCTTTAGTTACTGTGAATTTCCTACAACTGGGATATTTTGCATATACTGAACCGCAAAAGAAACGTCACCATGGATAGATATGTGAGAAACCTTATTTGTCCAAACACTGTAAACATACTTTGAGACATATTAAAAAGATGAAACTTGGCCAAACTGATCATAAAGGTGTTTCAAATGTTCTTAAAGTGAAACACAACACTTGTCTCTAAGAAAATGGTATCACAATCCACAAGTATCTCGTGTACACGTGTCCGCCATGTGCATTGATGACTGCCGTGTAATTTCGATACATGGAATGGATGAGGCGGTTGATGAAGTCCATGGGCACTTGAGCCCACACTCTGAGGAACGCCTGCCGCAGTTCAGCTGTTGCTGGTCGGACGTCATTCAGCCGTCTTTGAATCTCATCCCACAGGTGCTCAATGGGATTTAAATCGGCACTGAGGGCAGGCCGCTGCATGGTTCTGATGACACTCTGCTGGAGGAAGTCTCTTGTCGCTCTCGCAGTGTGGGCACGGACGTTATCAGGCTGAAACTCGTGGTTGCGGCGACGTGCCAAATGAGGTATAGCGTGTGGTCTCAAGACTTGATCAATGTACCGAGCTGCTGTGGCACCATTGCCTCTCCCTGGACCGATGTTCTGGAAGACCACAGGGCTGACCCTCTGTGCAAGACCAATTCCACCCCACACCATAATGCTTGGACCACTCCACGAGTCTCTCTCCACAACACAAGCATCCGAATAATGTTTCCCACGGCGTCGCCAGACTGCACGGTGTCCGCACTAATGTGGTCGCTGATGTGTCCCCATGGTCTGTCGAGCAGTTTCCGCAGCAGTAACAAAGCGATCTTGATGATGCTGATGCTGACGTCGGGTAGTGACCCTTGGTCTTCCGATACGTGGTCGGTCATCTGTAGTGTTGGTGGTCTGGTACAGTTGCTGGAGCCTGTATATGGTCCTTACGTGGACTTGAAATGCATTGCTACTTGCCGAGCGGTTTGTCCAGCTTGCAATCGTGGGCTTGGTGTCGCTGATTTCTTGTCAATCGTGGCATGTGGTAGCAATTCAATAACGAATGAATGTTATCGGCTCTGGGTTGATTTTGTATAGGGAAAGAAATTTGGGAACGCATGTGCATTTCAATTTGCACGGAACAAACGTGCATTGGGTTACCATGATCGTTGCCATGATGCGTTTGGGCGATCGGTTTTATTGTCATCTGCTTTGGGGGGTTTTCATTAAATTTCATTTTTCCGGACAAGGTAATGTTCATTTTTAGAAACTTTGTCAAAAATTACCTAGATATTTAAATGACAAGGCAATGTTACTTGGTGACGTTTCTTTTGCGGTTCAGTATATATTCACAATTCATACATGAAACATTCGGATATATATATATATATATATATTCATCTATATATATATCATATGCGGTTGTGTAAATGGCCATGGGGTTGAGTATTGAAGCCGACATCTGTTTTTTGTACGTGTCTACTACTATGATTTGTGAAGACAGGTTTACTTGGCCAGTGAGATTATTTGATTACCATAAGCTGCATATGTTATACTATTTGCACATAAGTAGAAATAAAAAAACAGATAAACCGTGATTGGTGTTTTTCATCTTTTTTGTGAATTATATGACATAACAATTGAAAGCTGTTTTGAAAGTGTGTGAATCAATATCTCATCGATTGAGTGAGTGAGTTTGGTTTAACGCCGCTATTAACAGTATTCCAGTTATATCGCGGCGTGTCAGCTTAATGTGAGAGGAAAGCCCGAATTGATGCAGGTCTCAGACGTTTACCACTTCAGTGAAACCCACGAGCACGGGTATGGTGCTGACAAACCTAGAAACATAATCGGGGCAAACCGAACAATCATAGGTTTCGGGCATGCCCAAGGGACGCAACTCTGCACAGCGAATCGCGTTGCCTTAGACGACTGGGCCACCCGTGCCCAATATCTCATCGAGAAAAGAATATAAAGACACAAATGGTATGAAACACCCAATCAATTTCAGTAGCGAAACGATGGATTTCTTAAAACTAATGCAATTGATATATACGTATCAAATGAAACCTTAAACTTTTTAACGGAAACAATTTAATATATAAGGTCATTTGCTACAGATCAAATTGACAACACATAACTTTGACATTCCGTTAATTCCGACGTTTGTGATTTATGTCATACAAGTACAAATCCAAAGATACAAACATAATTCTAATGCTACCTATCATACCTTCACATGGCTCTGTCGTAAGAGTCGACTAAATGGATGGGGCAGACGGACATACAGACAGACTATTGTATTTTCTTCTCACCCCAGATACAGATAAAAACAGCATATGCAAAAATACAAAACTGAGCCATCCCTTAGTCGCAATTATATAACATTTAGTATAAAACTCCAAGTTTAAACCACTCAATGCTGAAATCAGATCGTTGATGTACTGATTGAATAGAAGTGGGGAAAGAAGGCACCCCTGTTTTAAACCACATTTTACAGTAAACAACTGGGTGAAATGTCCATTTAATCTTACACTGCATTTAATACTGTTAATTAAATATACTGTATAATGAGACAATAGCGTTATACATCTTTCCTGTTGTGCATAGCACAGACCTGTCTATACAATCGTATGCCTTTTTGAAATCTATGCAGGCCAGAAAAGTTTACTTCTTCAGCGACTTCCTGGTTTCGATGAGAGATGTTAGAACTGATACATGTTCTACAGGGGATCTTCCTTTCCTGAAACAGTTCTGTTCATCACACACTATGTTTTCATTCTCAACATGTTTGTACAGTTTTGAATTCCGAACACTGCAATAAAGTTTGTAAGATGAGTTGGTAAGGGAAATGCCTCTGGATGATAGGGGATCATGTCTGTCGATGACGACGATTTTGGAATAGGATTGATGATAATAATATCAATATTCTGTAGTCTCTTCTGTGCAAGGCTAACTTTCCCGATCTGTTTCCAGAATTCGTTCTTATTTCCTCGGGTGATTGCGTGTCATCGTACCCCGATGCGAGGTTGTCATTGTTGCCGGTGGTAATACTTTCAGTCACCGGTTTTCCTCTTTTAGATTCGATTATTTTGAGGTTGTCGTGATACAGCCCGCTTATTGCTGATTGCGGCGTTAAACATCCGCTCACTCATTACATCATATTAAGAACAAATTCCAGGAGTGAGATTTTCATTCATTGATATTTAGTCACTGTAGCAAATTGATTTTTCGCTTCATTGTTAATACTTGGATTGGAACGGTGTATCTCATGAAGAAAAAGCAAAGAGGCCATATTGTCGTGCTCCGTACACAATTCACATCTTGTCGACTGCATGCCAATCCCTTAGATGTATTCAAACTCGCATCTCTGTGGCGTAAAAGGATAAACAATGAAATTCTGAAATCAAAAGAACCATCACTACTGAATTGTTGTGAGCCCAACCAACAACATCCGCCGTGCGTGAAGGTCGTTATACTTTGTATCTATTCTATATCTATATGTATATGTATTATACAAAACAAATTGTACCTCCGAGTGTTAATAAAATTCAGTTCAGTGCCCGATAATATCTACAGCCATCCATAACCATGACGGTCATTCAAATCAGATTTAATCTCCAAAACAATACCTGTCTGCATGAGGGTCACGGATGGCCCAGTCGCCTGAGGCGCCGCGATTCGCTGTGCAGAGTTGCGTCCCTTGGGCACGCCAGAAACCTATGATTGTGGGTTCGAATCCCGGTTCGCCCCGATTATGTTTCTAGATTTGTCCGCACCATGCCCGTGCTCGTGGGTTTCACCGAAGTGGTAAACGTCTAAGACCTGCGTCTAAGACCTGTCTGCATGAAGATCTGTGGTGAATAAATAGACAGCAGCCAATGAGCGGCGATGTTCCCATCGTCTCGCTACGAGTAAGCGAATAATTCCGACTGGCATATTTGATTTCTGTATCTCGAAAATGAACATAACCGAGTTCCGAAAGCAAAATAATATTGCCCGCACTATTTTGTTGTTGTTGATTTTTTTATACATCTTGCCCTTTCTTAGCGTCACAATCGTGCACTTTCACC